GAAGAAGAAAAAAAAAAAAAAAAAAAGCAGCAACACAATGTTTCCATCATATCAACAGAGAGCAAAACAGAAGAAGAAAAAAAAAAATATATTCACATTTCAGTTAAAAGTTCCACAAACAATAAAAAATACCAAGAGAAAAATTAATAATTTCTCTTTTGAGCGAGGAATAATAATAATAATAATAATAATAAAAACAGTATCAGATGAAGACAAACAAACAAACAAAAAAAAAAACACCACGAATCACTAACGAAGTATGAAAGAACTTTGCGACATCTCTGTTTATTGCGCCCAACTCCCAGAGCAGTTGACTAATATCTCAAAACAATCCATAATAATAATAAGGAAAGGATCACAGAAGGAAAGATAACAACAACTCAAAAATGAGTACAAAAACAAAATTGCACTAAAAAGGAGAGCAAACATATAAATATATATATATATATATATATTTTCGTCGACAAAATAGCAACAACAACAACAACAGAAAAATATCACTAATAATGCATGAGATAAAGTGAGAACCTGATGAAATTTTCTCAAAACCCTTTTGCTCTCCTACAACCCTTTCCTCTCTCATTTTATTATTTAATTTATAATTATTATAATTATTATTATGAGGTGACTTCGCGTTTCTGCGGTGAATCTTCGCTGCCTGTGTCACGGCCATCAGAATTGTCTGTACTACTTGTTTGCGGTGAATCCGTCAAGTCTGCTAACGGCCACGTATGTCGTGCGAGATAGGAGGTAACCATACCCTCAAGCACCGCTGATACAATAGACTCCGTAACTTCTCCGACGCTCTCTGGGATCATCACAGAGAAAGTAGCCACGTACGCCCTCAGCATGACTTGAACGGGGAGCATCATAAGCACCCGCAGGGTACGTGTGCGTGTGGGGCCTAGTGTGCGGCGCCGCCAGCAGAGCTTTGCCAGCGTGAGGGCGACGGATGGTAGTTGCCAAGTAAAGAATCCAAAGTTCCACTCGGCGTCTGAGGCGAAGGCCTGCAAGGCGTAGGCGGCGAACTTCCCTGGGGCGAATCCATCGAGTCGTCGCAGCACGTCGGACCACCCGGTGAGGACGTAGTCGAGCAGAAAACGCGGGGTCGTGACGGCGGCGAGGTACTGACGCGGGCAGACGAGCGCCGAGAGGAGAACTTCCGCCCCGAGGGCCGCTGCGTACGGCAGCGCCTGTCGCCCCCACGTCGCCGGCCCGCCGCGCTGCAGGCACCGGGCGAGAAGACTGCGGCCGGCGTAACTCGCAAATGTGTGGAGGCACAGCCGCACGAGGGAGCCGTACAGCAGTCGCAGCGTCTCTACACGTGAGTCTATGGGTGGTAGGCGCTCCATCGCATCTACAAACTATCAACTGCCCAGTCGATAATAGATATAAATATATATATATATATATATATATATATATATATACCGATTAGTAGATTGAATAAGTAAAAGTAAATACACTTCTCGTTTAGGGTTTACGCAAAACGCAAAAAAAAAAGAAAGAAAATAAAGAAAAAGAAGCAAATAATGTAATAGAAGAATCATAATAAATAATTACAGAAATTTTAATTTAAAGAAAAAATTATTATTTTTCTGTTTCAACGTAATATATATATAAAAAAAACACGAGAACTGCACAGTTCTTCTTCATGTAATGTAATGTGATGTTATGTTTTTTTTTTTCGTTTCTTTTTTTTTTTTAGACGTCCAAAGGCCAGATTTCTTATCAAGAAGCGGCAGAAAAAGGCGGAACTTTAGATCCCGGAAGTTTAATAATGGGTGAAACAAGTAGAAAAGGTTTGGGAAGACTTCCTGGAGCTGGAGATAGGAATGAGAAAAACTTCCTTCCAATCTCTAGTAAAACAATAAAACCAGCCACATTAGCTTCATCAATATTCTCTAGAGAATCAGTCCAAACCACACTTGCTAGACTCAAAGGTTTCACTTCCTGCCAAGAAATAATTTCTAACGTTAGTGCATTAACGAATTGCACATCCTTCACAAGTGCAACACCTCGGTATGGTGACAGAGGGGTTCGAAGTGTACCTTGAAAATAAGTTACTAATTGTTCTGTACGTGAGTCACTTAGCTGTGAGGCACCACGTTGAAACATACGTGGTTGTTTTGGATAACAAAGAATCGTAATATTTTGTCCAATTGTAGCTCCTCGTAAATCTTCTGCAAGATCCCCATCAGACCCACAAATAACAACATGGGTAATAGAGAAAACAGATAACAATTCAAAGAGAATATCCCGTCCTATACCTGTAGTCCATCCCATCGTATTTACTATAACTCCACCAATAGCATACTTTGGCTTTGATAAACCAACTGAAGCAATGGCTTGCGAAGTTTTAGCACAAAGATCCAAGTATCTTTTTCGTGAACTTGTAGTAACAGTTTTATCACCAAAGAAAAAAGTTAACGGTGCCATGGTATTAAATCCTTCATCCACAGGAATAAAATTTTCTATGAATGCTGTAGCAATACTTCCAGGGCAACTGATACTTTGTTGACCAACATCAACATCTACAAGAGAAACACCATACGTTTGCCCAGTAGTTGCCAAATTTACAAGATTACGACACAAACTACTCTTACCAGTATTTTGATCTCCAACTACTAGTACACGTGGACCTTGTATAGGTTCCTCATGAGATTCATGGACCACACTTTTACTAGAACTACTGCTGCTAATTTTGGAAGCAGCTTCTACTCTAGCAAAATCCAACACTGCATGTACATCATTAGCAGCGGAGTTAAGTACAGAAACAACTGCAGAAAATTCTCCCTCTATGTGTAGACGGCAATTGGTTAGACAAACTACTGGTATTCCGGATTTGGCAAAGTTATATCGGACGTTTCTCCTTAAAGGAGCACCAAATATTGTAGCCGCGCCATCAAGAAGTACAATAGATCCTGCTCCGGTAAAGTGAATGTTTAACTCACTACGCTCTAATTCATAAGATGAATGATGAATACCCCGAGTCATTAACTGCCTTTTTCTTTCTTTCTTTTTTTTTTTTTTGTATTTTCTCAATTAATCCACGTGTCTGAGTGTGAATTCTTGTTTAAGAAAGAATGAAAAACACCTCTACGCATTTTGTGCAAAAAAAAAAAAAAAATGGAAAAAAAGAGAGAAAAAAATATTTAAGTTGAGATATATAATAAATAAACATTACTATACATCCTATGTATATGTAAATATTGTATAAGCATATAACTCCATGAACGAAAAAAAAAAAAACCCTTTCTCATTAACCGTCAAAACGACGAACACTGTTAAATAACAAAAAAAAAAAAAAAAAAAAAACACTCTCAAACAAAAGATTACAACCAACAACAACTCTTGCTACCGCCCACTTCAGGAAAGTAGTTTCAAACTCCCAGTTATGGGATCCAAAACAGCGGAAGGAGCTGGTCCAAGAGCCACCACCATCACATTATCCAGAACACTACAAGACGGTGAAGAAGAAGAAGAAGAAGAAGAAGGAAGAGAAGGAGGTTGTGAAGAAGTTGAGCTTGTTGCAGTGCACCACGGTATCTTAGATGCGTCGGCCTGTTCAACAATACGTTTAAATGTCTCAGCATCTGGACATTTGAGAGTAATTTTTGCACATCCGACTCGGTTCCACCACAAATACCACTCTTGCCACTGTATGTTATCAACATCACTCTGTATTTTCTGAACCAATTCAGCAGCGGCTCCTGCAGCAGAAACGGCAATATCCTGAGAAGAGACTTTTTTTACATCACGCCGAATTACCAGCACCATTTTTAGGCGCAGTTCCTCCATACGCTCAAACTCGCTGTCTTCTTCTGAACTTTCACACTCCTCCTCACTCTCTTCAGTGCTCCATTCATCACTACCATCATTTTCATTTTCATTATCTTTATCTTCCTTTTCAGTTTCCACATTTTTCTTCCGTTGGTGCTCTGAGATATTAACGTTTCGTTTCATTTTCTCCAGCGCCTGCGCCGCCCTCTGTGCACGCGAGAGAGGGCGGACCTCTTTCGGAGTACTTTTCCATCGCCGTAAAAGCCACTTTACCGAAATAGAAATCACAAGACCAAGGAAGAATGCCAACAAGTTAACAAATAGTGTACTCATCACATTTTCAGATACTGGAATTTCCGACAATACCTGCATCCCCTATCCACCTTCCTTGACACCTCTCTTTTCAAAAAGAAGAACAAGAATGAAACACACACACACAAAAAAAAAAAACCCAGAAATAAAAAATACAAAATATCTATCCAAGAGAAACAGCAACGCCCCCTCACCTAGAATACAACATTAGGTTTAAAACTAGATGAGTTACAAAAACAAAGAACAAAATAAAAGACAACAATAAAAAAAAAAAGAAAAGTCAATACATACCTTATACACCGAGAATAACTTACAATCATGATAACAAGCACATACAACTAATTCAATATTATATATATATATATATAATATTGAAGCTTCAGCAAACACCGTCATGAATGCCAGCCTGGCGACGTCTAAGCGTAATACCAAGCGAAGTCTCATTAACCGGACGCACTTGACCACGAGAGACGCTGCCATTAACAGTATTAGCACTTCTTGAGCGTCTTGGCGGTAATCTCGATGATTCTTCACTTCGCCAGGGGTGTAACAAATTACTACTCACCCTTTCTCCATGATTGCGAGCTGTTGCAATAACAGGAGTGTTATTTAATGTAAATGTGACTTTGTTTTCCCCTGTTCTTTGAGAACGCATTGATGTCCCTGAAAGATCATGATGAACTGAATAAATACTTCGTCCACGTTGAGGTGCTGATCGAGTATTTCCATTCGTTGAACGTTGATTCTTTGTAGGAACGAAGTTATCAAATAACGGAGAGGTCTCTGTTGTCTGTGCTGCAAAAAACAAATCTACCTTTGTCGATGGTTTTTTTTGCCCATTTTTTCTTCCGGATTTGGAGACAACCGGTATATTGTTGATAATATTCTTCAGACAAAGCATAGGAACTTCTTTCCTTTCAGGAGGGGAATTTCTAATCTGCAACCGCTCATCTGATACGGTATTCACTTCTTGACGTGTTACTACTCCAGATTCAATATTTATGTTTGGAATTGAAACACCAGAAAAAACAACTTTTCGCTCTCCTTTTTCTACTAGTTTTTGCTCTTGTTCTCGCTCTAATGATTCGTAGGATGAATTTACCTGAATGACTGTTACCTCTTCTACGGTAGTCATACCACGCGAAACCCGTCCCGTGGTTGTTTGTGCATCTCGAGGGGAGTAATCAAAGACGCCATGGGTTAGTTGCCGTACTCCCCCTTGTGAAAGTCGAATGGCCTCTCTCGAAGGATAAGATGGCCCTTTACTTGAGATCGCAGTATAACGCATTAACATGGTGCGGAACGCATCGCGTTGTTGTCGACATGCTTCATCCTCTGCGATAGAACGATGTGCATCACGTTGGGCCCACTCTTCAAGTGCTACTGTAGCTGCTTCAAGAACAACCTCATCCTGCCCACCGAGCGAGAGTCTTGCATTCGCACCGGCAGGTGAAATTTCACTAAGCGCATGACTCGCACTAACCTCCATCACCATAGGCGACGCTGCTGCTGGTGCCGTTGTCGTCGTCTTTGACCATGGCCGCGGCGGGCGTCGTGCCCCGTTGGCGCCCGTTGGCTCTAAAGGCGGTCGACCCCCGCGCCGGAGGGTCCCACCGCCCCCTCGACATCTTCTAATAAATTGTCGCTCCCGCTGCAGGCGGCTCTGGTGTAGCGCCACGCGGTCTGCCAAACGCATCGATCCCGTCGTTGCCGTCGTCATCCCGGTCACTGCCTCCTCCTCCAATCGGGAGGTCTCATGCTTGTGGGCATCGCCGTTGAGGGGGACCTCTCTAAGACTAACGACACTATCCCGCAGACCTCTACGAATACGGTCAATAGTGGCGTTAATACGCATCTCTATCACCTCTCTTTTCAGCAATGTCCCATCAAAATCACACGAGACATTTAACTTTGAAAATGCAGAATACAGTAACCATTCTAAGTCTCCAAGCACCTCATCGGGTGTTACAGGAGTAGTATTGTCAGAAAGGAGAAGCCAGTCAGCAATTACCCAACGTGAACGATGACTAATTTCTACTGCTCCAGGTCGAGCTGCAAGCTGACGAAGGAGGGCACTAAGAGTTAAATTTCGGTGAGGTGGAAGTCGAGTGCTTACTAAACCATAGGCTTCTACGCAGCGAAGTATATCTTCAAAGTCAACTTCTTCCACAAGCCTACAACCAGCGTGAATGAAATCACCTAATGAAAGTCCCATACAAGACGATACGGATACAACGAAATACTCTTTTGTGGATGTAAGCTCCTGTACATAAACATCAATAGGAAGTGAAACACAAGGTGGTAGATCCTGTTGCTCTGCAGCTGCAATCAACGCATCTAGTCGTAGTTGTTGTGCATGCAAAAGGGTGGTAACACCTGACTCGGTATTTGGCATCTCTAATGGAAGACAACGCATCTCATACATGCATTCATTTATTTTATCCTGCGCACTATATCGGGGACCATTACGACTTTCCTCCGCGTCACTCACACAGTGGCAGAGGGTCAGCATTGGGAAAAGCTCATTGCGTTCCCGCAGTTGCGCGAGAGTGAGTGGTGCAGTTGTCATTCGAAACTCACCGAAACACTGGAGTGCAAGAAAAGAATATAAATATCAAGGCCAAGCACACCGGTAGAAACCCACAACCCACACACCCCAAACCGAGAAAAATAAAAGCAAAAGAGAGAATAATAACAATAATAACCCCTAGAAGGGCTAAGAGGGAAAAAAAAGCTCTTTGTTGAAGAATAACCAATAGAGCAAAAAAAAAAAAAACAAGAATATATATATATATATATATATATATAAACTTCTGCGGAGGGGTTTCGCTCTTTTCCCTTAACCTTTCCTCAATGTGTTCTGTTTCCTTTTGGTATTTTTTCTTCCTTTTGCCTTTTTTTTTTTATTGGCAAAGAAAAGAAAAAAAAAACAGTACTCAGAGTAAAGTAGTCTATACCACTTTTACTCTGAAGTGCACCCTAGATTAAAAAAAAAAAAAAAAAAAAAA